AGCTGTAGAGGGCGCAGCGTCACTGGCCCTCATGTGGGATCCGAACCGGGGCCCTGCTGCTCAGAGCTGGCATCCCAAGCCAACTCCTAACCAACGCACCACTCGGCTGGCCCTGGAGATAGGGTCTTGAAAGAGGTTATTAAGGTTAAGTGAGGTCGTTCGGTGGGTCCTAATCCAATATGATTGGTGTCTTTACAAAAAGGGATTAGGACACTGACTAGAGGGAAGACCATGTGAAGACATGGAGAAGACAGCCATCAACAATACAAGGAGCGAGACCTCAGAAGAAACCAACCCCACCAAGACCTTGTTGATCTCGGATTTCTAACTTCCAGAACTGTGAGGTACATTTCTGTTGTTTAAGCCTCCTAGTCTGGTACTTTATGGCAGCAAACTAATACACCAGCCCACACTGTTTGTATTGCATCTTGCCCTGTCCCTCTGTCCTCTTATCCTGCTCTACCTTATTCCCTTGTAGCATTCATCACATCTAACACACTTATCTGCTAGATATTATGATCTGTTTGTAGGTTAGATCTCCCCTCTGCCCAACCCCATGTGAGCGCCATAAGGGCAGAAATCTCTTGTTGACTTATGTACCCCAAGCACTGTTGGGGTACACTGCATGGTGTACAGAAGGCACTGTGATGGGTGACAGTGTGAAGACTCCCTCATACTCGGACCTCACTGCTGCATGTGTGTCTTCAGAAGGAGACTGCGGAAGGGCAGGGTGGAAAATGATTTCACTGGGCTGGCTCCAGGTGTCACAAAATATATGGAGGAGGAAAATGTCTTATAGTTTTCTTCTTACTCTACTCTCCCCACCTAACGTCCCCCACCTCCAATTCCCCAGTGTCTCTATGTCACTTAATAGCAGCATTTCTCTGTTCAGGCAGAAAACCTGAAGAAAGGTCCTGAACGTCTTTCCCCTTCACAAAGCCCAGTTCTTTGTACAGCTCTCCCCATTCCGGATGTCAAGACTGTAGCCCAGGGCACTCACCCCCAAGCCTTCTGGAAGGTTGTCGCAGCATCTTGCATGGCATCTCCCTTCAGCCTGGGATACCTCCACCCAACACACACAGTCAAGTTCATGTTTGGCCTCCCCTACTGGACAATTCCAGGCTTGGGGTCCGGGTCGTGTCCCCAGCACCTGGCACAGCGCTTGGCACAAAGCCCACGCTCCAGACTTATTTGTTGATCATCTCTTTTCTTGTTTCTGTAACTTTCCGCATGGCGAATCCCGGAGAAAGGGGTTGGTTTCATTGCGGCAGTAACTCGCGGCCCCGGGCGCACTCACCTTGGCCGAGACGCCCCTCCAGCTGCAGAAAGCCTCGTAGGCGGCGCGCACCGCGGCGTGGGCCTCGGGCGCCCCGCAGTCAGCTACCCGGCCCAGCTCGGCGCCGCTGGCCGGGTCGAGCACCGGGAAGGCGGCGGCAGCCGGGAGCCAGCGGCCGCCCACGAAGCTGTTGGTGCGCAGCAGCGTCGTGGGAAGGCCGTCCGGGCCAGGGACGTAGGCACGGAGCGGGGCCTGGCCGGGCGCCCAGTAGCCCGCGACCGGGCAGAGGCCGCGGTCGTGAAGCGCCAGCCGGAGGTGCCGTGCGCTGCAGCTCCGAAACCACAAGCAGGTCGCCATGGCCCCGGCGGCAGCGGCAGGAAGGAGGCAAGCGAGTGCGCGCCGGGGCGGCGGGAGGAGCGAAGGTCGGGGGCGCGCTGGGGCGCGGGGACGCGGCTGCCGGTGGCGGAGACGCCAAGCAGCGCCCTCTCCCGCGCATTGCACTGCCATGCCAGGCTGGACCTTATCCGAGCGCAGCGCTGCTCTGTTCCCCGGAAAGGGATTAGGATTGGGGTGCGGGATGCACCTATGGACTGTCATCTTCCTTGTCAAGGGCTCTGTGTAATTATTACTGAGCTCGCCGACCTCTGCAGGAGAACCGTTCCCTCTCCCCCATTCCCCCAACCCGTTATCCCCCCCCCCCCACTGGGATGTGTGTTTGGTCCATGGATGCACGGTGTGGGCCCAGCTGCCAGGGCTGGATTGCGTTCCTTTGTCCCCTCGGCTCTGCGAACGGAGGAAGTGGGCTCAGGCTTACTGAGCGGTGGAGGGTGGCTCCGCGTCTGGCCGGCTGGGTGCTTCTCTGGGTGTGTATCTGGGTATTCTCTCCATCAGCTGGGAGCAGGGGCGCCCCGACCTGGATCCAAACCCAGAACCTGAGGTCGACAAACTGTATGCTCTTGGACAAGTTATTTAACCTCAGTCCTCCCGTGTGTGAAATGGAACAGGAAATTTGTTGTGAAATACCTAGAGTAGTGCAGTTGCCACATGAAATTTAGGACAATGTTCAAGGTCATACTAGCTGCCCCAGGTCAAGCCACTAGTTAAGACTGAAGGTAGGCATCCAAGTAGTCGACGGGGATCCTTTGTCAGAATCGAGTGAACTAAAGTGTAATTGCAGTGGGACTTGTCCTGAAGCAGCCAGGAAGCTGCAACTTTAATGAGGATAAAAATTAAAATAGCAGGCCTGCCCTGGAATTGGTGAGTTCACATAAAGCCCAACTCTGAATTGATGTACGATCTCTAGTCTCACCATATCTCCACTTCACTCCCACTGAGCTGAGAGTCTCTGCTGGCTTCTCCAGAGCCTGTGGCTCCTCACCTTCTTCTAAGACCTGTGGTTCTCATTTGTAAAATGCCAAGGCAGTACTTCACGTTTTGACTTTGTTTTTTTGCTATGAGTGTCACTCAGTCTTGAGTCCATCATCTTAGGCAGCAGTGGGAATAGCGGGATTTAAACTTTTGTGTGTGTGGAGTCACTATTTCGTTCTGCATACTACGTAAGGAACTGGAGAGAGGGGCGGTCCTGCTGCAGAGGTGGCCAGGTGGCCGGATGGGCATCACTCCTCTGCCTGGGGAGCTGACCTACTGCCTGCAGAGGGAGCTCTACGGAGAGCTGGTTTCTAAGGGTTTGGGGATCAGTTCTGCTGAGAAAACTGAGGCCCAGGAAAGTGATGGACTGTGGCTGCCCCTCTTGATCCAAGATCATTCAGCTTTTTTTTTTTTTTTTNCTGTTGTTCAGCATCTTAGCTGTAGAGGGCAGTGTCACTGGCCCTCATATGTGGGATCCGAACCGGGGCCCTCTGGCATCCCAAGCCAGTTCCTAACCAACGCGCCACTCAGCCAGCCCAAGAAACGGTTTCTTAAAAAAAGAAATAAACATTTGAAAAAAATCACTTATCTAAAACCATTAAAAAAAAATAAAAATAAAAGCAGGCCCTGAGAGTCCAGGTCAACCAGGTCACAGAGAGAGGTCCTCTAAAGAAAGATGTGCCACAGAGCTCCAGCCTCCTGCAACTGAACAAGTGTATCTGAAGCAAAGAATCTCTGGTTTACTCTTAGCTGCCTTCTGGGCTGCCCACGGCAATGCACAAACCTGCCTTGTCATTCTGACGTTTCCATTCATTCAGTAGGTGTAAGATTTTCATTATTTTCTCATTCCACTAATGAGCAGAGCCGAAGCCTGTACAAACACCACTCACGGTCTTTCTCTGGGTTCTTTCCCCTCTGTATTTTGGATAACAAGCTGCTCTAATCCAATGACGACTGATGTCCTTATAAAAGGGGGAAATTTAGACACAGAAATAAGACAGGCACAGAGGGAAGGTGATGTGGAGAGACACAGGGAGAAGATGGCCCTCTACAAGCCAAGGAGAGAGATCTGGGACAGATCCTTCACAGCCTCAGAAGGAACCAACCCTGCTGACACCTTGGTTTTGGACTACTAGTTTCCAGAAAACAAGAAGTTTCTGTTGTTTAAGCCACCAAGTTTGTGGTTCCTTGTTATGTAGCCCCAGGAAATGACTACAGCCTTTGTGAGGTGCCTTGTGAATGTTCTAGACTCAGACAGGGAGGCTCAAATGGATGGAGTCACATGAGACTCCAATCCCAAATTCCCTGCTCAAGCAGGAGTGAAATGATGGTGACCTCTGAGCCCCTCGCAACCAGTCTCCTCATCCATAACACCATCAAGTGTCTATCTCACAGGGCCACTGAAAGGACTAAATGAAAAACGAAAACAGCTGAAACACCGAGAGCCGGACACAGCTGGGGCAGGCAAGATGGCCCTCAAAACTACGCTCATCCTAATCCCTGGAGCCTGTGACTGTGTTACTTTACAAGGCAAAAGGGATTTTGCAGATATGATTCAGTTAAGGGTCTTGAATTGAGGAGACTATCCTGAATCATCCATGTGGGCCCAATGTCATCACTCGATGAGAGAGAGGTGGGAGAGTCAGACAGGTTGGAGCAATGTAGGGCCACCGACGAACGAAGCTAGCTTACACCCCATGATCATCAGGGAATCCAGTTACCTCTACCTTCAACTATATTATCAGCCCACTCTTCACCACCTCTACTGCTACCACCTGAGTTCCAACTATCACCGCCTCCCACCTGAATCACTGCAATGCCCTCCTAACAGCTGTGCTTCACCGCGGCCCCTTCTTCAGTCTCAGCACTGAGGCCGGAGCAGCCTCTCAAAATGCAAATCAGATCACAGCTCTGCTCAAAACCCTGAACTAGAACCCACCTTCCTCAAAGTAAAACCCAGTTCCTTAGGATGGCTGTGCCCCACTTGATCTAGCCTTCCTCCCACTGTCTCTGTGACCTTCTGTCCCACACCTCTTCCCCTTGTCAGTCCACTCTAGCCACGCTGCCTCTTTGCTGGCCTACAAGTGCGTCAGTCCTGACTCAGTTTTGCTCGGAGTTCCCTCACCTCCTTTGGTCTTTGCATCTCGTATCCTCAATGAGGCCTCTGATGTTATGGCCTAAATTGTGTCCCCCCCTTTCCCCAATGCATATGTTGGAAGTTCTACCCCCAAGACCTCAGAATGTGACTGTATTTGGAGATAGGGTCTTTTTTAAAAAAAGATTTTATTGGGAATTGGGGGAGGGGAACAGACAAGTTGCTGTCCTTTTGTTCTTCAGTCTAGTTGTGGAGGACGTCGCTTCACTGGCCCAT